AAAAAGTTGTTCTACTGCCGGGCATGGTGGCACATGCCTTTAATCCCAGCACTTGGGTGGCAGAGGCAGGCGGATCTCTGTGAGGTCAAGGACAGGCTGGTCTACAAAGTGAGGTCCAGGACAGGTGGGGCTACAGGAAGACCCTGTCTCAAAAAGACCAAAAAAAAAAAAAAAAAAAAAAAAAAAAAAAGTTGTTCTACACTAGTAGATTTTTTTTGGTGTTCAGCTATAAACACTACCTGCCACTCACCACTAGAAGGCCCCACTGCCTGGAAAAGGTTACCTACTGATCCAAAGCCATAGTACTCTGAAGGATATATCAGGTCAGGGTAGCAGAAAGACCATTTATCCCTTTCTATAGGGCTGGAGGGAAAAAATCTTTTTCTCTTTATCCATTTTAAAGGAGAGCTGAAACTTTGGGTTAGAGTCAAAATAAAAACTGATGAAGTAGGCATCGTTGCTGTAATTCCAGCAGTGGGGAGGTTAGGCTTCAAGGTCAACCTCACACCTAGTGAATTTGAGGCCAGTCAGAGCTTAAACTCCATCTCAAAAAACAAAACAAGGGGTTGGAGAGATGACCCAGTGGTTAAGAATGCTTGCTGCTTTTGCAGAGGACACGAGTTTGGTTTCTAGAACCTACATAGTTGCTCACAACTGTAAGAAACATTGAATATTAGTCTTTTCTTTCAAACCCTGTAAAACTTGGAACTTGGTTTATGACAAGGAATTCTAACCTTTTAATCCCACCACACCCTGTAAGACTTTGTTTAAGACCCTGATGCATTCCTGAGCCTAATGGTCTGGGGGTGAAGCTCTTCTCCCTTCCCAAGGATTCGTGTAGCCAATTAGGAAAGACTGTGAAGTCTGACCCCAGCTAATGGGAAAAAGACAGTTCTCTTGCATTAGAAATAAAACCCCACCAAGCTTCCAGGTCCTGTGTGTTCTTGCTAGATCTGACAGACCACAAAAGACACCCTTTTGCAAAAGAAAATCTGCCTTGACAAGTTACTTTCGCATTATCCTTGTGTTCTTTGTGCAGTACTGATGGGGTCCTCAGACCTCGGATTTTATTTCTAACACAACCGCCTGTAACTCTAGCTCTAGATCTGATGCGCTCTTCTGGCTTCCATGGGCACCTGCACACACACACACAACACACAGACATTAAAAAACAAAACAGAAAAACAAAAAAACCCAAACACAACATGGGGGCTGGCAAGACGGCTCAGCAGTTCCACCTGAGACCCACATGGTAGGAGAGACTCCCCCCAAGTTGTCTTACAACCTCCACACACGAGCAGTGATGTTAAGAGCACCACTCCACTTCTATACACAAAGAAATGTAAAAACACCCACAAACCCAAAGTGAACTTTTCAGTGTTGTCTGTCTGGACCTATCCCATGACTGGCCCCTTGTTCCCAAAGAACACTAGACCATTCTCTAGGTTTTTGTGCCCAAGTGAGACTTTTCCCAACACTCCTAGCCCACAGCAACCTCTGGTTTCCAATCCCCTCCCCTTTTTATTTATATTTTATTTTGGGTGTTTTTGCCTGCATATTTCTGGCCACAGGGGGCCAGAAGAGGGTGTGGGATCCTCTGAAACTGCAGTTATAGATGGGTGTTAGCGGCCATGTGGGTGTTAGGAGCTGAACCTAGGTCCTCTGTAAGAGCAGCCAGTGCTCTTAACCACTGAGCCATCTCTCCAGAGCCTTCCTCCACTCCTAACGCTAACCTTTTTTAAATATTTTTTTTTGCTCTTTTTGAGACAGGGTCTCTCTGTAGCTGCAGCTGGCCTGGAACTCACTGTGTAGACCAGGCTGGCCTTGAACTCACAGAGATCCTCCTGCCTCTGCCTGCCAAGTGCTGGGATTAAAGGCGTGTGCCACCATGGTGGGCTCTAATAATTTATGTTGAAGGAGAGTGCCCCTCAGACCCCCCTCCCTGTCCTCTGAGAAAGAGCTGCCCTCCGCCTGACTCTGGAAATCCCCTAGATTGTTCAAACCCTTTCCTGGTACATCTGTTTATGGTTTCTATGGAAATGGTCTGGGGCAGAAAAGGAAGAACGTTCTGCCCCAGGTAAACTAGCCAATGGCTGTATAGGTTAAGGCTCTGGAAATCAGCCCTAGATTGTTCAAATCCTTTCCTGGTTCTTCTGTTTATGGTTTCTATAGAAATCCCCTGCTCTGCAGTTTTTGTGCTTAAAAACTCTGCATTTCCACAGCTCTGGGTCGCAGTGCACCTCCCGAGCCTGCCTGTGTCCCTGGCCAGTCCGTTTCTAAAAAGCAGTGGAAGTGGAGTTCTCCTGAGTCTCAGTGTCCGAGTGGTCAATTCAGAGAATTTTTCAGACCCCGAACAATCTGTATGAGTGTACTGCTTGCATGTATGTGAATGCACCCGTGTTGTGCAATGCCGTGGAAGTCAGAAAGAAGAGGGCTTTGGACTCCTCTGGAACTGGAGTTAAGGACAGTTCATGGCTGCTGGGAATCGAACCCAGGTCCTCTGCAAGTTGGTGCTCTTAACTGCTGAGCTATCTCTCCAGCCCAAGCCCAATCCTTTTTTTTTTTTGGTCTTTTTGAGACAGGGTCTCCCTGTAGCCCCAGCTGTCCTGGAACTCATTATGTAGGCCAGGCTGTCCTTGACCTCACAGAGATCCGCCTGCCTCTGCCGCGTGCGCCACCATACCCAGTTCCCCAACCCTTTTTCAAAGATAGGACTTCATAGCTGGGTGTGGTGGTGCTTGCCTTTGATCCCAGCACTTGGGAGGCAGAGGCAGGTGGGTCTCTATGAGTTCAAGGCCAGCCTGGTCTATATAGTGAGTTTCAGGCCAGCTGGGGCTCCAGGGAGGCATCTCAAAAAGACTAAAATTAAATAAAGAAAGAAAGAAGAGAGAGAGAGAGAGAGAGAGAGAGAGAGAGAGAGAGGGAAGAGAGGAAGGAAGGAAGGAAGGAAGGAAGGAAGGAAGGAAGGAAGGAATTTTTATGGATAGACACATTTCTAACTAACTTGCTATGTAGCCAAAGATAACCTTGAATTTCTGATTCTCTGGGCTGGGAAACTGAACCCAGGGCTTCATGCATGCTATCTGCGCACTCTGTTGAACTGTATCCCCAACCCCTCTAATTCCCATTTTTTTGTTTTGTGCCAGAGAACTTCCATCCTTAGCTGTATCACATCTAATGTTCCTGTGTATTTGTTTTACTCCTAGACATTCTAATTTTTTTTTGTTGTTTTTTTTTGCAGCAGGCCTGGAACTCACTTTGTAGACCTGGCTGGCCTTGCACTCACAAGAGATCCACCTGACTGCCGGGATTAAAGGCGTGTGCTACCACAAACAGCCTTTAAAATTTCTTTTTGAGACAGTTTCACTGTCACATTGGCCTTGAATGCAAAGACATCCATCAGCTTCTGTCCCCAGTGCTGGGACCGAAGAAGAGCACTACCACACCCAGCAACACTTGAAGGCTAATTACTGCTTTAGACCTCTACCTGTCTCAGACAGGATCTGCTATGTAAATATCTGTGAAAATAATCTTAACAGAGTTGGGCCTGGTGGCTGGCAGATCTGAGATCAAGGCTAGCCTGGTCTACATAGTGAGTTTCAGGCAGGCTATCTCAGACCAAAAAACAGGTTGGAGAGATGGCTTAGCCTTTAAAAACACTGGCTATTCTTGCAGAGGACCTGGGTTTGAATCCCAGCACCCACATGGCAGCTAACAACCATCTGTAACTCCAGTTCCATGGGTTCCAATGCCCACTTCTGTCCTCTTTGGGTGCTGCCTGACACAGGGAGTGCACTTGCATACATTCAAACACATTTAAAAAAAAAAAAAAAAAAAAAAGCTTAAGAAAGGAGCTCTAACCTAGAATGCTGGTGAAAACCTTCAGTTCCAGCACTAGGGAAGCAGAGATGGCAAGATTTCTCTGAGTTTGATGCCAGCCTAGTGAGTTCCAGTCCAGCCAGAACTACATTGTGAGATCCTATCTCAAAAGAGGTAGGGGGAGAGGCTTCACAATTTTCTGGAAGTGACATGCTAGGGTCAGGTCAGAAGGAAAGTTGGAATTCTAGGGCCAGCTGATATCAGGCTTGCTTTCCTCACTATCACCCTTTTGTCTTCCTTTTATTGGTCTTTTTTGAGACAGGGTCTCCCTGTAGCTCCAGCTGTCCGGGAACTCACTATGTAGACCAGGCTGGCCTTGAACTCAGAGATCCGCCTGCCTCTGCCTCCCCAGTGCTGGGATTAAAGGTGTGTGCCACCAGGCCTGGCTCACCCTTTTGTCTTTAACCTGAGTAAATTTGGAGCTCTGGATCCTCAATTCCTTGAGTTGAATAGTTATGATCTATGAATAGATAGATGGTATCCTGATATATCTATCAATCTATCAAAAGACCCACAGTGTTTAATCAATTTGTAAGCCTAAGCTGCCAAGATCAAGTGACTGGAGCGTAATGAAGCCACTGCTCTTGGAGCGAACTGAGGCTAAAGTACAGAAAGGTGCAGTTTGTTCATGGCAAGATGGAATGGAGCCTGGGCGGTGGAGGAGGAAGCTGCAGCAGATGGGATGTGACAAAGTGCTAAGAGGGCTGGAATGCAGCTCAGTGTCGAAGCATGTGTGCATGCCCTGCTTCAATCACAAACACCACCCAACGCCTGAACAACAAAAAACAGGTCTAATGTAACAGAGAGCAACAAGGAGGTATATACGATCACAGTACATCATGTACATATACAAAAGGTAATGAAATCCATTTTTTATTTTATGTTATTTGAGTGTTTTGCCTACATGTATGTAAGTGTACCACAAAGGCCAGGAGAGAGTGCCTGATTCCTTGGAAGTGGACAGTTATAGAAGGTTGTGAGCTGCCCTGTGGGGGCTGGGAGTTAAACCATGGTCCTCTGCAAAAAGCAACAAGCGCTCTTAACTGCAGTATCCTGAAACCTATTTCTATGTATAATATATGCTAACAAAAACATTCTCTAAATAACTGATGAAATGTTAATACATTAAAACCACGTATTTATTACTTTTATATTGCATTTGTCATTTTTTAACAATACAAAGTAGTCAAATAGTAACACTTCATAAAAATGTTGAATCCCAATTTCCATTCCCTAAGACCCACACTCCCTCAAATACTCCCTCCCACCCCTTACAGAACTCTGTCCTGCATAAAACACTTAAATACATCATAAATAGTATATTATGAAAAAAAAAATAGCAAGAATTGTCTCTTTCTTTCTTGTAAAAAAGAACATGGCAGCAAAGACAGGCAGCCACAAACTGGCTGAGGGTGTCTAATATAGACAGTTACTTAGGGTATAGGCTAACCTGCTATCAAGGTAGTTTGGGATAGAGAAGTAGTAATAGGAGATTTCAGCCTGCCTGAAATCCTTTGCCCGCCTTCCCCACTCCAAGAAAAGGATCAGATGGATAACAGTAACTTTGAGAGACAGATTCTCTACATAAAGGGGGCAGGCCAGGTGGCATGGCCAATAACCTAATTGAGGGAAACCTGCTGATTCCCCATGAGCTTAAGAAAATATTCTCTAGCCTCAAATACATGAACTGCCCACTAAACAGACACAAATGTCTCCCTCCACCTTAGCTCCACAAAGAGCAGAACACTGTTGGAAAATATGGGAAGAACAAAGAAATCTCCTTTGGAGAATGGTCTAAAATCAATTGGTAATTCTTTATATTTAGAACAACTAGAACACATTTCAAATTGCAAAATAGTAATTATCATTATGGCCTGGCAGTGAGTAGGGTCCTGCTTAAGGGCTATCATCTCCTAACATGGCTTCCCACTGCTTTAACAGAGGGGTACTGATGAACCCATGTCCCTCTCTCTACCCCTGTAACCTTGAGAGAGGAAGAGTCAACGAGGAGCTCTGCAGAGCACTCACAGCCTTTCTGTTTCACAAGCACTTGGGTACATCTGACATTTCTGCAACTTTTATCTGAGGCTGGTTTGAAATTGTGCTGTGTGCTGTCAGTTCTTTTCCTTTCTTAAGGAAAAAAGAAGGCTATGAGTAAGGATCACCCTTACCTGCCCGCCCCCAAAAAAAAACCTTTATAAAAATTATTGGGGACTTCTTCAAGGACTAGAGGGAAAAAACTAAGGTAAAAATAATATGCCAGCTAGTCTGTCCTGAGGAGGTAAGAGTCCAGCTCCTGGTGAAAGGTAAATTAAAGATAAGAGAAGAAAACCATCAAGTCCAGCAACACCACTTCCAGCACAAAGAATGGGGGTTTGAAAGAGTTCAGTTATAGAAGCCAACAACTGGCCAGTGGGAAATTCATGCCACCCATTCTGTAGTGGTGGGGACACTGCTATCCTCAACTGTAAAAGGCACTAGTGCCCAGAGGAAGGGGAAGATGGTGGTGAAGAGCTTTGCGAGCCTCGGAAGTATTCTTTTCATTTGATAACCAAGAAGAAAACTCAGCACTCCTGAGGCAAGGGCTGACATCTTGATATTAAAGAAACAGTAGAATCTTGTTTCAGGTCTTCTGAGGTTTGTTGCTCACTGAAAATGGAAAGAATGCAAAGTTAATATGCTGAATATGAGATAACGAGGCAGGAATGAAATTCAAGTTTATTTCATTCTAGCTGATAAAGTTAAGACATGCTCTTCTATTTTTAGCCTCAGATTTCAAGTTGTTTTTTTTTTTTTGTTTTTGTTTTTGTTTTTTTTTTGTCTTTTTGAAGCAGCCCCAGCTGTCCTTGAACTCACTATGTAGACCAGGCTGGCCTTGAACTTACAGAGATCCACCTGCCTCTGCCTCCCGGGTGCTGGGACTAAAGGCGTGCACCACCATGCCCGTTTTTTTTAGTATTTTTAATTATATGTATGCCTGTTTGTGTACAGAGGCCAGAAGAGGGAGTTGGGTCCTTTGGAACTGGAGTTACAGGCAGTAGTGAGCCACCTGATATGGGTCCTGGGAACCACATAGGTCCTCTAGAAGAGCACTTTGTGCTCTTAACTGCTGAGCCATCTCTCCAGCCCCACAAATAACTTTTTGCTCCATTCTACAGTGGTCCATTTTAAACTCTTCAAAGCATTCCCTTCCCCTAGATCCTAGACACTCAAATGGATGAACTCTGACTCCGTAACTTCAAGTTTTTCCGAGGGGGAAAAAGAAAAAAAAAAAGAGGGAGAGAATTAGACGACTTTTTTAAAAAAGGGGTGGGGCAGCTAGGGATGCAGCTTCAGTTGGCAGAATGCTTGCTTGGCATGCATGAAGCCCTGGTTCCATTCCCAGGATGGCCCTCTGAAGGTCAAATATCATACTACTTCATATTTCATATGTGAATCAATATAGGATTCAGAAAGCAACAATCTAAGAATCTACTAAATTTAAGCTGGACCTGGTGCTTGAGAGGTTGAAGCAGTAGAATAGATAGTTCAAGGCCTGTGTAGCTACAGAGTGAGTTCAAGGCCACTCTGGGTAACCCCATGAGACCCTGTCTCAAAATATAAACCAAAAAAGGCTAGAGATATAGATCAGAGATAGAATATTTAGTACTTAGCATACACGAGGTCCTAAAAACAATCCCAACATTTCAAAATAAACAAAAAGCTACTAGACTAAACATCCATTATTTATTTACAGGGGAGGCTCACTAGCACAACGTGCACATGAAAATCAGAGGACAATCCATGGGATTAATTCTGTCCTTTTCTCCAGTGTGGGCTACATTTAGCGATTCTTTTTTACTGAATACTACAGCAAAGGTGACAGTATGTTAATTCTGAGATTAAGTTACAAAAATATTAAAGCTTCCTCTTAAATCATTTCTTTGCTTGTTTGCTGAGGAAAGCTAGCTGCTAGGCTATGAGAAGGCCTATAGAAGAACAATGTGACAAGAACTGGGGACTATCACTGGCTAAGAGCTGAGCCCATAATTCAAAACCTTGGAAGGAACTGAATCCTCCAAACAACCATATTAGTGAGTTTGGAAGCTGATGCTCACACCCAGGCAAACTGTTTTGAGACAGGCCTATAGTGGCCTCTAACTTGTTATGTGGACCAGGCAGCATCATGGCTGTTCTCCTGCTTCTGCCTCCCAAGGGCTGAACTTTTTTTTCCTCTTTTTGCAACAGGGTCTCCCTGTAGCATCTTGAACTCAAGAGATCCACCTGCCTCAGCCTACCGAGTGTTGGGATCAAAGGTGTGCACCACCACGCTCTGCTCAAGTGCTAGAACTCTTAAATGTGTGCTACCTACTATGCCTGGCTCTGTCTTTTTTTTTTTTTTTTTTTTTTTTTTTTTTTTAAAAAAAAAAAAAAAAAAAAAAAAAAAAAGAGGACGATAAATCTTTCACTGAGGCTGGCCTTGAACTCACAGAGATCTACCTGCCTCTGCCTCCCAAGTGCTGGGACTAAAGGCGTGCGCCACCATGCCCAGCTAACTTTCTCCTTTTTAAAATGTGCTGTTAGGAATAGCCCAGAACCTTGTAAGTACAAGTTAAATGTTCTACTACTAACCTACATCTCTTAGTCCTGAGTTACACTTTCATATGGGACTACTGCCCTGCCTAATAATTTCACTGAAAACTTTGGAGAGACCTTGAGCCAAAGGCACCTGCTAAACCAACCTACACTCTTGAGCTACAGAAAACAAGTCAATAGATGTCATTTTCAGTTAAGTTTGGAGTAATCTGTTAGGCAATGCATAATACAAATTCTTATATGTGGTATTCCTGTAATAAAAACCTAAAATGTAGTGGTGTGGGTGTAGCTCAGTGACAATAGTGCTGATCTAGCAGCCCAAATCTTGAATTTAAACCTGAGCACCTAAGTCAGGTGTGGTGCCTCATACCTATAATCCCAGTACTTGAGAGGCCAAAGTAGGAAGATTATTGTGAGCATGAGGCCAGCCTGGGTTACAGAGTCAGATCCTGTCTTAAAAAAAAAAAAGGGGGCTGGAGAGATGGTTCAGTGGTTAAGAGCACTGACTACTCTTGCAGAGGACCCGGGTTCAATTCCCAACACCCATATGGCGGCTACGAATCATCCTTAACTCCAGTTCCTGGGGAATCCGAAGCCCTCTTCTGAGGGCATGACATGGGTGCACTCACATACATGCAGGCAGTACACTCATACACATAAAATAATAAAATATTTAAAAAAGAAAAAAAAAACCCTAAACAAAACAAAACTAAACAAAAACAGCTATGCAGAAGACAGAAGCAGGCAGATCTCTGTGAGACTGAGGTCAGTCTGGTCTACATAGTGAGTTCAAGGCCACCTAGGCTACAGGGATCACTGTCTTAAAAAAGATGAAAAAAACCAAGCCAATCAACCAAACAAACAAAAAAACCCACCCAAATAAATAGGGGCTGGAGAGATGGCTCAGTAGTTAAGAACACTTGCTCTCCAAGCAGAGGAACTAGGTTTGGTTCCCAGTACCTAAATGGTGCCTCACAACTATTCATAACTCCAGTTCTAGGGTATCTAATGCCCTCTCCTGGCCTCTGTGGGCACCAGGAATGAATGTAGTATATATACATACATGAAAGCAAAACGTTCATACATATAAAATAAAAATAAATAAATCTTAAACAAACAAATAAGGCTGATAAGATGGCTCAATGGGTAAAGATGCTTGTCATAAAGTAAGTCTGGTAACTTAGCCAGGCGTGATGGCACATGCCTTTAATCCCAGCACTTGGGAGGCCACAGGCAGGCGGATCTCTGTGAATTCAAGGCCAGCCTGGTCTACATAGTGAGTTCCAGGACAGCTGGGGCTACAGGGAGGCCCTGTCTCAAAAACACCAAAAAAAAAAAAAAAAAAAAAAAAAAGTCTGGTAACTTGAGTGTGATCCTTATAACTAACACAATGAAAGGAGGACTGAATCGAAGGGGCTGTCCTCCGGCCTCCACAAAATGTGCTATGGCACATGCATACCGCCCTCCCATATATACATGTACAAACAAATAAAGAAAAAATGTAAATTTAAAAGCAAACAGTGCCTGGCATGGTGGTACACAACCATTAATTCCAGCACTCAGGAAAGTGAAGGCAGAGACTGAGGCAGAAACAGGTAGATCCTTGTGAGATCAAGGCCAGCCTGGTTCAATTAGCTCCAGGCCAACTGGGGCTACAGGGAGACCCTGTTTCAAAAACAAACAAACAAACAAAAACCCCAAAAACAACAACAACAAACAAACAGGGGTGGAGGAGGTATCTCAGAAGCTAAGAACACTTGCTATTCTTCCAGAGGACCTGGGTTCAATTCCCAGCACCCACATGGTGGCTAACAACTATCTTCAGTTCCAGGGGATCCTGCACTCTCTTCTGGCCTCTTCGGGATATTGTTGCATGTGGTGTACTTACATAATGCAGGCAAAACACTCATATACTCATATACATGAAATAAAAATAGTATTAAAAGCCGGGCGTGATGTGCATGCCTTTGATCCCAGCACTTGGGAGGCAGAGGCACGCAAATCTCCATGAGTTTAAGGCCAGCCCTGGTATACATAGTGACTTCCAGGCCAGCTGAGGCTACAGCGAGACCCTGTCTCAAACAGACCAAAAAAAAAAAAAAAAACAAAAAAACAAAAAAACAAACAAAGATCAAGCAAACAAACATGCTAGAGCAAAGGAACATGCTAGAGAGGAAGCTCAGAGGTTAAGAGCACTTACAGCTCTTGCAGAGGACCTAGGTTTATTTCCCAGTACCCATATGGCAGCTCAAAATCACACAAAAAAACCTCCAGTTATAGGAAATTCAACATCCTCTTCTGGTCCACAAGGGTTCTGCATACACATGGCATACATAAACTCACACAGGCACACACATAAAAATATAAATAGGGCACAGTGGTGCAGGCCTTTAATTCCAGTACGTGGGAGGCAGAGGCAGGCTGATCTCTGTGAGACTGAGACCAACCTGGTCTACACATGGAGTTCCAGGCCAGTTGGGTCTACAGGGAGACATTGTCTCAAACAAACAAACAAACAAACAAACAAACAAAAACCCACAAGAAAAACAAAAAAACCAAAACAACAACAAAAATCCCGCAAAGATAGGGGGCTGGAGAGATGGCTCAGCACTTAAGAGCACTTGCAGAAGACCTGGGTTCCATTCCCAGTACCCACATGGCAACTAACAACTGTCCAGAACTCCAGTATTAGGAGAATCCGATGCCCTCTTCTGACCTCTGAGGGCATTGCATGACATAGGTGCACTTACATATATGAAAGCAATACACTCATACACATAAAATAAATAAAAAAGATAAATAGATAAATATATAAATCTTTTTTAAAAATGAAGGGCCAGGGATAGAGCTCAGTGGCAAAGTGTTTGAGGCTCTGGGTTCAATCTCCTGTACTGAAAAACAAAACAACAACAATGACAAACAAGATCAGGCATGGTGTCACACCCTACAGTCCCAGAACTCCATAGAAGCAGAGGCAGCATGAGTGCTACAAGTTCAAAGCCAGCCTGGTTTATATAGTAAGTTCCAGGACAACTAGGGAAGACATGCAATGAGACCCTGACTCAAAAAAATACAAACAACAAAAACTGTACAAGAGTCCCAATAAGATTCACAAAATTGAGCACATGCCTTTGATCCCAGCACTTCGGAGGCACAGGCAGGCACATCTCTGTGAGTTAGAGGCCAGCCTGGTCTCCATAGCAAATCCAGGCCAGCTAGGGCTACAGGGAGACCCTGTCTCAAAAAGACCAAAAAAAAAAAAAAAATCATCTTTGCAAGAATTCTACTAGCACTGCTGATTTAAACCAAAAGGGCCCAAGACAGAGCAAACTCAAGAGACTACTAGAGACTATCTCCCACACGATGGGAGATACCTGACTCCCACAAGTTGTCCTCTGACCTCTACATATATGCCATGGCACAGGCACACCCATATATATACACACACACACACACACACAATAAAAGAATAAAAAAATAAATTTAGTGTCTATTGTTAGCACAACATATACTGAAAACAAACGAGAGACAATGGGAGGTGGGGCACATCAAGATGGCTCAGCAAGTAGTTCCAGGACAACCAGGGAAGACACACAGAGAGACCCTGACTCAAAAAAAATACAAACAAAAACTGTATAAGAGTTGTCCCAAGATTGTCCCAAGCTTGCCTGAGTTTAAACCCCCAGAACTCACATGGTGGAAAGAAGAAAAGATTCCTGAAAATGGTCCTCTGATTTTGGCATGTGCATGGGTGTATGTACATACACACACTAAATAAATGTAAATAAAAAGAGAGAGAGACCATTAGATATACCCTCCTCCAAATTTTACTAGAAAGAAGCTACCAATTTTCTAACCTTCATGAAATATTAAGCCTCAAAGGACAAAATCTGAAAGGGCCAAGGAGAACTGTTTCCAGACTTTGAGATCTAACTGTATGACGGTATATGGGGAGAAAGTAACTTGTCTTTTTAGCATCACAGGCCCACAGACTGAGAGGAACTGTACACAAGGAGCTATGCTTATCAAACTGTACCTGGGGAGTTCATTCAAAACCAAGCTGGTCTCAAACTCAGGGGAATTCTTCTGTCTCAGCCTACAGAGTGCTGGGATTAAGGCAATTTCAGACATGTGCCAGCAAACCTAGTGATATGTGGTCTCTAAGACAATTCCCAATGATCCCTGCTGCTAGCATTCATACCCGTGTGTATTAAATAAGAATACAGCAAAGACAACAGACAACAGCATTCTATCATCTGAGATTAGGTTATAATTCTATAGTTTCTGCTTAGACACATACAAACAAAATTAAGTCATGATTGTTATCCTAGACTCTCTCTTTTTTTTTTTTTTTGGTCTTTTTGAGACAGGGTCTCCCTGTAGCCCCAGCTGTCCTGGATTCACTATGGAGACCAGGCTTGCCTCAGATTCACAGAGATCCGCCTGCCTCTGCATGCGCCACCACGCCCAGCTCAAAATCTTCTTTTTTTAAAACAAAATACATTAATTTTATTTTATGTGTATGAGTAAGTATTAAACTGCACGTATGTAAGTGCATCCATGTCGTGCAATGCCCTTGGAGGACAGAAGAGGGCTTTGGATCCTCTGGAACTGGAGTTACAGACAGTTGTTAGCTGCCAAGTGGGTGCTAGGATTTGAACCTGGGTCTTCTGCAAGAACAACCAGTATTCTTATCTGCTGAGCCATCTCTCCAGTCCTCTGTCCTAAATCTTAAGCTGAGAAATCTCACTTTACTCACCAAAAAATGGCTACTTGGGATATTTAACTGAATGCCAGCAGGTCTGCAAATGCAGATTTCTACCCCTCTACTCCCAAAGATGGCAGATATGTGGACCTGTTTCTATCTGAAGATGAGTTCTTAGGAAGGTGAACTTGCAAAAATCTAGTGATAAGGAATATGTAATTTTTAGGTCCTGGGAACCTAAAAAGTGTATGTGGAGAGATGGCTCAGTGGTCAAGAACACTAGTTGTTCTTACAGAAGACCTGGGCTTGAGTCCCAACACCCACATGGCAGCTAACAACTGTCCGTAATTCCAGTTCCGGGGGATCCAACAGTTTCTTCTGTCCTCCATGGGCATTGCACAACATGGATGTACTTACGTACACACAGGCAATACACTCATACACATAAAATAAAAATAATAAATAAAATTTAAAAAAAAAAGAGTATATGGAGAAACAGACCAAGAAACCAACCTCGTATTTAGTATTTGCATAGGCTCTCCAAGTACAGGTGAGAAACTGGGGCCAGGAACAGGTGAGCCCTCACTGATTTCTTCCAAAGGTGGAGTGTGAGGTAAGACATCAGGGCGACCAAGGTACACATCTGCAAGAAAAGGAAAAAAGAAAAAAAAAAACAAAAAAAACAATCAACAAATGAATTAAGAGAATATATTATGTTTAGGGAAATACAGGAAAAAATATGTAATAACTTAGCCAGGCATTGTAACACATTCCTGTAATCCCAGAACTCAGGAGGCTGAGGAAGGATTACAAATTTGATGTCAGCTTGAGCTGCATAGTGAATTCCAGGAGAGCATGGGCTACCTAGTGAGACCCCGTCTCAAAAACAAACAAAACAAAACCCAAAACAAGTTAACAGTTTAGCTCTTTGTGCACAGAAATGGGGAGGGAGAGGAGATCCTGGCTCAGAAGGGAGGGAGTGTCCAATCTCATGGGGCCCCAGCCCTGGCGCTGACCTGGCTCCACTTCCGCCTTTGTTGTCACTTGTGCTTTGTGTTCCCCAGAGACTGATGGCTGGCAAGCAATGCAGGAGTTGCCGCTGGGGCCTGATCGCCGAGAGAAAGATGAGCCAGACCGAAACTTTTTGGAAGGAGAGGGCTTCACTTCAAAAGGGAAAGAGAGAGCCTACTTAGCATCCACCTCAGAAACCATCACCAAGACACAGATACAAACTTCTAGCATCCCACACACACACCCAAAATTGTTCTGAGGCAAAAGAAGAAGAAGAGTAATGTCAGAAAAGATGGTGTCTATGGGGTACTATTCAGAGAAGGAGGCCTCAATCCACCTCACCCTGGAAAGAATAAGTAAATGTAAAACAAAAAGTGACACAAGTACATCCCTCTGTGGCTCTATCCCACAATTCCCTCTCCTTTTTCTTTTTACTATCACCCAATATAACCTAACAAAGATGACATTTTCACTCTACCCCTTCCTTAGTATTTATGCACATAGCACTATAATTTACACTTATGTGTTACTTTGAAAACTGAATTTTCCATGCCCCTTAGGACTGTCTGTAATGCCTAAATCATCTTTGTTTCACTAAAGGACAACTGATGCCACCAAGAGGAAAGGAAGAGGAGCTGGAATTTGCCAGTGTCAATAGCATAGAAGGCTTGAGAAAAGAGTACTGGCACTTATGTATCAAGAAAGCTGAAAGAAAAGACTAAAAACACCTGTTCAACAGTTATCAGTAATGCTTTAATTACTTGAACTAATGTGGGAACTCTCTGGCACCTAGACAGTAAAAACACTGGTAAAATCTGTGCCTACTCTTTCTACACAAAAGTCTGCTTCTATTTCAGTCTATATCATGGATTCTATAGTCACAGCTATATATTTTTTTCCAACCCCACCAATTCCACAGAAATGGCCCTCACCTCAATGATACATGTAGTGAGAGCCAGGGGGAAAGCAGCAACTCGGAAATGACTGGGACAGACACAATGACTGACAAAAGGACGAGAAGCAGTGCTCATAGGACGCAGGTAGAGCAGCAGAGGCCTCTGGCCTTTGTAGCTCCCTGACAGAGGTGTCCTACCCCCCATCTCTTGGGGTAAGGGAGCCACTCGGGGGTCATCTGGTAGAAGCCACTTACAGGGAATCTTCTTGAACACTGTGCCACACATGAATCGCTGAAACCGCTCAGCATAGAAGCCTGGACGATGCACTGATACTGTGTCCTGCAGGAACAGAAGAGATGGCTACAGAGTTAAGAAAGGCCCACTAGGCGTGGTGGCACACACCTTTGATCCCAGCATTTGGGAGGCAGAGGCAAGCATATTTCTGCCTCAAGCCCAGCCTGGTCTATAAAGTTCCAGGTCAGCTGGGACTACAGGAAGACACTGTCTCAAAAAAAAAAAAAGCCCAGTAAGAGGTTATCCAAGGGCCATGTTTCCCTAGACTGACATCCTACCAGATGGGTTAAAAATAAATAAATAATAAATAATAAAGCCAAAAATGAAATAATGCATAGAAAAAATTGAGGGGGCAAAAGGAAGCAATGTAGAAGGGGGAGGAGGCCTTTAGCTGCTTGGTACACTCACCCCATCATGTACCAGTGCTTTCCAAGAGTGTTCCAACTTCTTAACAAACCTGCCAAGAAAAATAGGTATCACATTGTTTTTGAATGAGAAACCATAATCGTTATTTATTTTAGAGGGTTCAAAAGGGCCTTGATAGCAGAAAATTATAAACAGTGTGATATACTGGCTTTCCAAATAGGCATGGCAGTACTCACTTAACATGGAGACCAGTGCTGCTTCTAAGTAAGCCAATTATTCCCCTGTGGTAAAAGGGCAGTTTGTAAGTCCCTGGCAAATTAGGGAAAATGAGCCGAATGTAGCTCAGTGATAGAACACTTGCCTTGCCAGGCATGGTGGTACACGCCTTGAATCCCAGTGCTTAGGAGGCAGAGGCAGGCGGATCTCTGTGGGTTCAATGCCAGCTTGGTTTACAGAGTTGAGTTCCAAGCTAGCTATGGCTACAGGAAGACTCTGTCTCAAAAAGACAGCCCCTCCTTTCAAAAAAAAAAATGAACACTTGCCTAGCATGTGTGAGGTCCTGGGTTCAACTGTCCACAAAGCAAAACAAAACTAATAATTGCAGAGGAATGGTAGGTTGAGAATGGTAGCATATGCCTTCACTGAGCACCTAGGAGACTGTGGCAGGAGGACTGCCATGAGTTCTAGGCCAGCCTGGGCTACAATGTAAGATCCTGTCTCAAAAGCCAAACCCCAAAAAAACAACAGAAAGAAAAGAAAGAAAGAGAGTGGTAGAAAGAAAGAAAGAAAGAAAGAAAGAAAGAAAGAAAGAAAGAAAGAAAGCCAGCCAGCCAGTGGGGGTGGTGGTGCATGTCTTTAAACCCAGCACTTGCCTGGCAGATCTCTGTAAGTTCAAGGCTAGCCTGGTCTATTGAGTTCCAGGCCAGCTGGGGCTACAGGGAGACTCTGCCTCAAAAGGACGGATGGACAGACAGAAGGAAGGAAGGAAAGAAAGAAAAGCAGGAAGGAGAATGAGCCAGCCAATGAGCTGGGGGAACAAGGAAAAAAATGGGTAAGCCTGAGAAAGTATAGGTAAACTTGAAAAACATGGCTGGTGAGATAGTTTAGTGGGTAAAGTGCCTGTCATCAAGTCTAATGACCCGAGTTCATCCCAGAACCCACATGGTAGAAGGGAAGGAAAGAATGGACTCCCACACATGCATGTGGCACACATACACACTAAGTAAAAAATAAATAATTTTAAATTAGTTAATAATCAGTCAATCAAATACTGAACAGTCTCTTTAGTGCCTGAAATGTGTCAGGACAAAAATGGGGCCTAACATTTCCAGCTCCTTTCTCATCATCACTTCATTGCTTCTTAGTTCCATAGTGTAACACACTCTACAGAACAGAGTTCCCACTTTTCCTCTGTGGAAAGAGAATGTGCTTCTTGCTGTACCATTATGTGGAGCATGACTCAACTCATAGGTTTCTCACATAGCCAAGCAGATGGAGCGCTCCACCCTAGTGCTTTCAGGGCAGACTCAGCTTTCCATAGAAGGTATCACATTAGGGAGGTGGTAAGGCAGGAAAACAAGGCTGCATACCACCTAAAATCTGATGAGGTAACCAGATTGCAACTCATTGTTGTAGTACCGTAACAACTTCACAATCAATGCATCTAAAAGAAATGTGGAGGATGGAAATATGGCTTAGTGGTTAAGAGAACTAGAAGCTCTTTCTAAAGACTTGGGTTTGGTTCCCAGCATCCATATGGTGGCTAATAACTGTCCGTACCTCCAGTTCCAGGGAATCCAATACCCTCTTCTGACCTCTGTGGGCAGTGCACGCATGGGTGCACTAGCATGCACGAAAAACACTCAATACACAGAAAACAAATAAAATCTTAAAAAAAGAAAGAAACATGGGCCATAGGCCAGAGAGATAGTTCAGTGGTTAAGAGCACTGGTTGCTCTCGCAGAGGACCCAGGTTCGACTCCCAGCACCCACATGATGACTAACAACTGTCAGTAACTTCAGTTCTAGGGGAATCCAACACCCTCTTCCGACCTCTGAGGGCACTACATGACATGGGTATATTTATACATACGCAGGCAATATACTTATATACATAAAATAAAAATAATATTTAATACCAGCACTCAGGAGGCAGAGGCAGGCAGATCTCTGTGAGTTCCAAGCCAGCTGGGACTACAGGGAGACCCTGTCTCAAAAAGACCAAAAATTAAATAAATAAATAAATAAATAAATAAATAAATGTATGTAAATGCTTGCAAGAACCCAACCCCTAATCTGTGATACATATGCTGCTCACCTGTAAGATTGCAGAATATCAATAATGCCAATATAAAGCAGGAGTCTCTCCCCTTTGTTATTCCGGGCAGGTATACCACCCATACTGGGGAAAACAAAATGAAAAGAGTTAGAAAAATCTGTTGGCTAGCAAGCTCCTACCTTCAGTCAAATCAGGACAGGAGAGCTAAACATGACTGATTTACTCGTCCTACAAGAACTGTGAGTGTAAGCATGGCCCCTCAACCCTAGGAGTCCTTCTGGATCATGTATTATAATCTCTTTGCTACCTCTCCCGCCCTAGATCCACCAAAGACACCCTAAAATCAAAGCAATCTGCAATCTGGGGCACACTCTCACAAGAAGCAGCAAACTTCTTGCTGGGTGTGATGGCACACATCTTTAATCCCAGAGCTCAAGAGGCAGAAGTAGACAGGTCTCTGAGTCTGACGCAAGCCTGATTCACAAAGATAGCTCCAGGCCAGACAGAGCTATCTTGAAACAGAAAAATAAACTTCCTGAGTACTTTCATATTTTAATTTGTGCCCACTCCCACGAAGACATTTTTCTTGACAGTCACATTATAGGATGCTTAAAAAAATGAAATTGAATTTTAATTTTTAATTTATTATTTTTATTTTATGTGTATGAGTGTATTGCCTGCATGTAGGTAAGCACACTCATATCGTGCAATGCCCGCAGAGGGCAGAAGAGGACATCAGATCCCCTGGAACTGGAGTTATGAACAATTGTTAGGGTGCTGGGATTCAAACCCAGGTCTTCTGCAAGAACAACCAGTACTCTTAACAGCTGAGCCATCTCTCCAGCTCCTGAATTTTAATTTTTAAAAAAATCAAATGAAATTTATGGTATCTGAATAGCCATTCTTATGAAAGAAATCTTTTCCTCTTATATTCTTATGAAAGATCAGTTTATGGTCAATAATCATTAGTGTTCTTGGCCTAACTGCTGAATCAAAGCTATTCTCAAAAAAAAAAAAAAAAAAAAAAAGTGTGTCCACCCACCCAAGGCTCAGGGTCCATTGTGGAAGAGGGAGCAGAAAGGTTTTAAGAGCCAGAGAGGAGGTGCATGACCATACAGAAATAGTTCTACAGGCTCCTGTGACCCTTCTCACACAAACCAACAACAATGCTGTCAGCATGCACAAGACCCATGCAAACTTAGGCAGACAAAAACCCAGCACAGAACTGTGGAAATGAACAGCAAGCCCCAACCTTAGTCAAAGAATTATTGGTAACTGAATACTGCTGGATGAGGAAGAGCTGATCTTCTTGGAGGGAGAGATTCTACATAGGCTGACTAAACTCCAGTGGACAAACTTGCACTGAGGGACATTTTGGGGACACCAACTTTACATAATAGGCCTTAATACAAATGACAGAATGTATGAACTTGAGTGGGGGGGCTATGGGAGGATGCCAAAGGGGAAGGGGAATAAAGATGACTTTATGTATGAAATACATAAAAATTCAATAGAAAATTTATTTTAAAAATAAATTAAAGAAAGGGCTGGAGAGATGGCTCAGTGGTTAAGAGCACCGACTGCTCTTGCAGAGGACCCGGGTTCGATTCCCAGCACCCACATGGTGGCTACGAACCATCCTTAACTTCAGTTCCAGGGGAATTTGAAGCCCTCTTCTGACCTCCGTGGCACTGCATGACATGGGTGCACTCACATGCATGCAGGCAATACTCATACACCTAAAAAATAAAAATAATAAATAAAATATTAAAAATTAAAGAAAAGAAAAGAAAGAAATGTGTAGCCAGGGTGGTGGCACATGCTCTTAATTCCAGGACTCAACTATAGGGGATGAGTTCCAGGTTAGCTGGGACTACAGCAGGGAGACCCTGACTCCAAAATAAAAAAAAGCCAGGTGTGGTGGCACACGCCTTTAATCCCAGCACTTGGGAGGCAGAGGCAGGTGGATCTATGGGAGTTCAAGGCCAGCCTGGTCTACATAGTGAGTTCCAGGTCAGCTGGGGCTTCAGGGACACCTGGTATCAAAAAGACCCAAACAAACAAACAACAAAAACCCCCAAAAAACAAAACAAAGAAAACCAAAGCAGAGTATGAGAATATTCTTGACTTGCTGATATTCCCAAGCCTACTCACTGATCTTCAGTCTCCACAGTGCCACCTCGTCGAGCCTCGCCTTGGATGGATTCCATAGCCGTGGAATAGAGAGCCTTTTGTGGTGCTGGTCTGCGAGTATCAAATGAGTACTGTATTTCGCTGTTTAGGGGCTCTCGTTGTGCATGATCCATGTTGTGGATTGACATCAATAGGCTATAGTCCATTATCTTGAAGCTCTGTAACACCTATTGAGGTGGGAGGACAACATGATCAGACCCTTGGGAATGGCATTAGGATTTTTTTCAGGTTCTCAACACTCTCAAGACTGAATTATGCTTAACCATAAGCTCCAGGGCTAACCATAGGACTATCCTTTGCCCTTCCCACTCCTTACAGAACATGTAACTCTGGTCAGTATTTACACCCTCTTAAGTAATGTAGTACTTTTTGCAGTATTAGTAACTGAATACAGAGTCTTTGGCATGTTAGGCAAGTACACTACCACTAAGCTATATTCTCTAGCCTCCCTTTACCCTTTTTTCCTTATTTAAAAAAATCTGAGATAGGGTCTTGTGAAGTTGCCTAGCCTGGGAGGTAACTGGGATTACAGGCCTGAGCCACCAGACCATGCAGTGCAACCTATTTTTTCAAGTTCAAAGACATTCTTCAATCTTTCAATGTGTCACTTATAAAAAGAACACTATTTTTCAGGAATGAAATGTACTGTAAAGCACCCATAACAAGCAGGTTGGGGACATAGCTCAGTTGGTAGAATACTTGCCTGGTATGCACAAAAACCTGGGTTCTATTCCCAGCATTGCATAAACTGGGCATGAGGCAGGAAGAGCAGAATTCAAGGTCATTCTAAGCAACACAGGATAATGTGGGCTACACAAGATGAGACCCTGTCTCAAAAACAACAACAGGGGCTGGAGAGATGGCTCAGCAGTTAAGAACACTGGTTGTTCTTGCAGAAGACCCAGGTTCAAATCCCAGCACCCACATGGCAGCTAACAATTGTCCATAAGTCCAGTTCCAGGGGATCCAATAGCCTATTCTGTCCTCTTTGGGCATAGCATGACACGGGTACATTTACCTACACGCAGGCAATACACGCATACACATAAAATTTTTTTAAAAACCAAAAAAAAAAACCCACAAAACAACAACAAATCACACATACTTTTTTTAAAAAATGGTAATTCTTTTTTTAAAAAAAAATTTTATTTTTATTTTATGTATATAAATATATTGCCTGCATGTATGTGAGTGCACCCATGTTGTGCAATGCCGTGGAGGTCAAAAGAGGGCTTTGGATTCCCCTGGAAGTGGAGTTAAGGACGGTTAGTAGCCGCCATGTGGGTGCTGGGAATTTAACCCGGGTTTTCTACAAGAGCAGTCAGTGATCTTAACTGCTGAGCCATCTCTCCAGACCCCAAAAAGTACATACTTTTTGACAGATCTGGGTCAGAGTAAATCTATGGCAGGCCTTTATACGATCAGCTTCAACTCAACATTACTGAATCCTCACTATATACAGGCAATGTGCCAGTTTATAGGGATATAGAAATATATGAGTTTCAGGGCTGGGGTATAAGTCAGTGGTATAGACAGTATGTGTCTAGCATGTGCAAGTCCCTATATTTAATCCCAACATCAAACAACTAAGTCTCTACTCTTAAGAATGTTATACATTTAACTTTTTTCAAAAGATTTATTGTTTTATGTATATGTGTGTGGGCCTGACTGAGTATGTATGTGTACCATATGCATACAGGTGCTGATGGAGGCCAGAGGAGGGCACTGGATCCCCCAGAACTGGAGTTTACAGGCAGCACCCACATGGTGGCTAACAACCATCTGTAACTCCAGTTCCAGGGGATTCAAGGCCCTCTTCTGACCTTTGTGGGCATTGCATCACACGGGTGCACCTACTGACATGCAGGCAATACACACATAAAAATAAATAGCTGGGTGTGGTGGCACACACCTTTAATCCCAGCACTTGGGAGGAAGACGCAGGTGGATCTCTGTGAGTTCAAGACCAGCCTGGTCTACATAGTGAATTCCAGGACAGCTGGGGCTACAGGGAGACCCTCTCTCAAAAAGACCAAAAATAAATAAATAAATAAATGAATATTAAAAATAAAATGAAATACAGTTTGGGAATCCTAGAGTGGTGGTAAAATGCTTTCAATCACAGCATTCAGGAGGCAGACACAGGCAGATCTCTGTGAGTTAGAGGCAAGCTTGTTGTACATAGTGAGTTCCAGGCCAACCAGGGCTATACAATGAGATTCTGTTACAAAAAAACAAAAACAGGGGCTGGAGAGATGGTTCAGTGGTTAAGAACACTGAATGTTCTTGCAGAAGACCTGGGTTCAGACCCCAGCACCCACATGGCAGCCAACAACTGTCTGTTAACTCCAGTTCTAGGGGATCCAACATCCTCTTCTGACCTCTGAGGGTGCTGCACAACACGGGTACCCTTCCCCACATGCAGGCAATACACACATACACATAAAATAAAAATAATATATAAAATATTAAAAAAAAATAAAAATAAAAACAAAAACAAAGCTGTTTGGGGAACTAGGGGGAAGGCTTATTGGGAAAATTATTGGGCTGCACAAACATGAGGACCTAAGTTTGGATCTCCAGCACCCACATAATAGCAGGGCATGGTAGAGTGCATCTATAATCCCCACACTATGGGGGAAGACCCAAGAGGATCTTGGGAGCTAGCTAGTTGCCAGTCTAGCTGAAATGATGAGCTTCAGGTTCAGTGAGACTTTGTCTCAAAAAGTGAAGAGCCATTGAAAAGGACACCCAGCGTTGACCTCTGGCCTCTACTTGTACACACACAGGAGAGCAGACACTTGCATACAAGTAAAGGCACCTGTGCACAATGGGAAAGCACACCCTCACATACACATGTGCATAGCAGACGTTCACATTCCCCAAAATAAAAACAACAAAATGCAGCCTAGGCTATAGAAGCAATTTATCAGAGCTCCATCTCCCACAGGCTTAATCCCTGAAAACAACCAAGGCATTTTAATGACAAATTTTTGGCATCTGAAATAAAGAGAAATATAGCAACTCACCAAACAGTCACGCTGCAAGGTCTTACACAGAGCACTGTACATGTCAGCATCCAAAAAAAGACCATCAGGAATATCTTGTAGGAAGTCCAGATCTTTAAAGGTAGGGAGCAGCTTCTCTCTTTCTTTTTGAGAAGCCCGTCGCTTGTAAGTTGAGCCCTTGAGGTCATATTTCATATGCATTTTGACTGACCGTGGTAAGAGATTGTTCATCACCACAATTCGTATGTTCTTACCGCCTGCTTGCACACAGTACAATCCATAGAATTTGGGCAGCAAAGTTCGAGGGTTTTGGTTAAGATTCTGAGTACATAAAGAAGCAGTAGAGCAAGTTAGCTGATTTTCAGTGGAACTCAAGGACAAAAGTTGCCATTCACCCTTCCTCTGCTTCCTACATGGGATTTAGGTAAAATGTATTGATCTACATATTCTCAATGCATTTATCTCAATGATTCCTTCAGAGTTTAGAGAAAAAAGTATTAAACCAGTCATAGACATGCACACCTATGATCCCAGGACTCCACACACTGAAGCAAGAAGTTCAAGAATTCAAGAATGTTTTTAGGCTACACAGGAAGGCCCAGTCTCAAAATAAGAGTGCTTGCCTAGCATGCACAAAGCCCTAGGTTAAATCCCCAGAACCACACAGGTAAGATGTGGTGATACACATCTGTAATCCCAGCATCTGAGAAGTGGAGGCAGCAGCCTGGGCTACATGAGATCCTGTGTCAAAAACAAAAACCAACCAAAACAAACAAACAAAAAAATCCTACATTTAGAATCTTACCTCTGGGTAAGATCAAATCACAATAATTCTTTTTTTTTTTTTTAATTTTTTATTTTTTATTTTATGTGTATGCATGTATTGCCTGCATGTATTTTTACTTTATGTGTATGCATGTATTGCACCTGTGTCGTGCAATGCCTGTAGAGGTCAGAGAGGCTGTCGGATCCCCTGGAACCGGAGTTAGGACAATTGTTAGCTGTCATATGGGTGCTGGGATTCAAACCTGGGTCTTCTGCAAGAACAACCAGTGTGCCATCTCTCCAGCCCTAAATCACAATAATTCTTAAGAGAAAAGCACTCATGCTGTTTCTGTCCCTCTGAGGACAACCTGTTTAGCCTTGCCCAGAAGGATGCCAGGGTTCCTTTTCCCCTTACCATGTAGTATCCTGGAAGCAACTTCTGCAGAAATTCTGCTTCTTTGTGCTGGACTGTCTTAATGATGAATTCATCATCACTGGACACGTAGAAGAGGGAACCACTAGCTCCAGAGTTGCAGAGTTCAATCAGAGGCTCACTGCAAAGGGAGTACTGAATAGAAGAGAGAAGAGAGTAAGAGAATCAGACATATCAGGGCCTGCCCAACACAGAAAATAAATACAGGCAAGCTTCCATTCTAAAGAAATACGAGAGCAAGACTGTGGAAGAGAGAGAATTCCTTTTGGAATATCCTTGACATTAGAGTCACAGGTTCTGAGATTAGAAGCTTACCAAGTAATCATCAGGTCGGATGCCAAATAGCTCCCGAAAGTAGCGGAAGGCAACAGGAGCATAGGTCTTGAAACGAAAGTCATTGTAATGATGAGCCGGTGTCAGGTTGCTCCCTTCACTGTAGGGTTAAATATGAGAAACCTTAACTTCCCAGTCCCTGTCACTCAAAGTTCACCCTGGCCAGTGCTAAATGAGAGGTCAAAACATCCTCCCATAGGAATGGGGATGAGCTAATTATTTAATGGGACAAAAATAACATGGGGGAGCAAGACGCAGTGATGAAGCATACTGTCTCTGAGCCAATGCAGTAAGTCATTTAAAAACTTAAAAACAGCCAGGCGTGGTGGTGCACGCCTTTAATCCCAGCACTCAGGAAGCAGAGGCAGGTGGATCTCTGTGAGTTCAAGGCCAGCTTGGTCTATATAGTAAGTTCCAGGACAGCTAGGGCTACAAGGAGATCCTGTCTCAAAAAGACAAAAAAAAAAAAAAAGAAAGAAACAAAACTTAAAAAACAATTTTTTGATGTCTATCAATGGTTTTTTGTTGTTGTTGTTTTGTTTTTTTTATTTTATGTGTATGTGTGTATTGCCTGCATGTATGTGAGTGCACCCATGTCGTGCAATGCCATGGAGGTCAGAAGAGACTGTCAGATCCCCTGAGACTGGAGTTAAGGACAGTTGCTAGCTGCCATATGGGTGCTGGGATTCGAATCCAGGTCTTCTGCAAGAACAACCAGTGTTCTTAACCGCCGAGCCATCTCTCCAGCCCCATGTATCAGTGTTTTATGAGCATGTGTGTACCACATGAGTGCCTGGTAACCATGGTGGCCAAAAAAGGGCACCAGATCACTTAGAACTGGAGTTACAGATCATTGTAAGAAGTTGTGCAGGTGCTAGGAACTGGACCTGGGTCCTCTACAAAAGCAGCATGTGTTCTTAATCACCGAGCCATCTCTTCAGCCCTGAAAACATTTTTTTAATTATATTTACTCATCTACAATGTATTTGTTCACATGCACACTTGCACATGTCATGGTATATGTATGGAAGTCAGGGGATCACCTTTGGGTGTCGATTCTCTCCTTCCACCATGTGCGTCATGAGGCTCAAACTCAGGTTGTAGGGTTTACCTTTTACCTGAAGAGCCACCTCACTGGCCTAAGTTAATTTATGAGTCACTCCACAGGCCAGAGGCACATGGCACAGTTTGCTTTCCAAACTCTCCAATCCTATTCACCTTGTTTATAACAAAGCTAAGGACTGATAGGCTTAAATTAGACAAGAACCCTTAAAATCACTCTGAGGTTGATTTGAAAAAGTCTATTTCCTAGGACAGTCTCCTAAACATTAATTAATCTCTGTACCTGGGAAAGAAGATGCTCTCCACCACATAGAAGTCTTGCATGAGGACATCTCGCTCTGGTTTGGTACTCAGGCTTCCCACAGTGTGAGTAATGCCTAACTGGATGGCACCTTTCAAGGCTGATGAAGTTGTCTAAGAAACAGTAAAGAAATCAGAGGAAATTTTCTAGTAATAGGTTTGATCATAGACATAGGCCTATAATCTCAGCACTCAGGAGGCAGAGGCAGGATGACTGCCTCAAATTCAAGGTCAAACAGAAACGCCATCTGTCTCAAGCTCTCCCCTCCCCCAAAAAGCTTGACCATACCAACAAAAACTAAGGATAAAGTTAAGCATGGTGGCATACACTTGTAATACTTCTAATTCCACTGGTGACTCAACAGACTAATGTAGGAAGATTGCAAGTTTGAGAACAGCTTAGGTTACAGAGAAAGACCCAGCCTCAAGAAACCAAAATGTAGCCAGACTGCCTTTAACCCCAGCACCCGTAGGCAGAAGCAGATACATCTCTGTGAGACTGAGGCCAGCCTAATCTATAGCAAGTTTCAGGGAGACCCTGACCCAAAAAAGACCACCCTCCAGAAAAAAAGCACCAAACAAACAAACAAACAAAAGATCAACCAAACCCCCCAAAACCCATAAGGTATGAGAGAAAAGCCAGAAGACCCTTGAAAGCAAATGCCCTTTCAGTAGTTCAGACAAAATTTAGGCCATCCTAGTCCCATTACAATCAGAAAGATTTTTAAAAAATTGGGCCCCTCCAAGCCAGGCTCAGTAGTGTGCCTTTAATCCCAGCACTTGGGAGGCAGAGGCTGGCAGATCTCTGTGAGTTCAAGGCCAGCCTGGTCTATATAGTGAGTTCTAGCCCAGCTGGGGCTATAGGGAGACCCTGTCTCAAAAAGACAAAATAAAAACGCCTCCCCCCAAACATTTAATTCATTTGACAGAGAATCTAAAATTAATCAAGATTCTAATTTGACTATGTGGATATAGAAGCTTCAGTCGTAAAAAGGCCCAAATATATCAAGGGCACTGAAGTGGCAAAAAGCTCTTAATTCAAAAGAGAAACATGAAAAATTCAAATTATTTTCCTTTGTGTGTGTATGTGTGATATATGCATGAGTATGTGTTAGTGTGCGTAATATACATATGTGCACACATGAACGGGGATGTCAGAGATCTATATTAGGTGTCTTCTACCCCTCTCCACCTTATTATATTTTCTTACATTTATTTACTTACTCTGTGCCTCTGCGTGTGTGTGTGTGTGTGTGTGTGTGTGTGGTATGTCTTGTATGTGTGGAGGACAAGTTGTACAAGTTGGTGCTCTCTCCTTCCATCATGTGAGTTCAAGGGATCCAACTCAGGTCAGGCTTGGCAGCAAGTACCCTTACCTGAAGAACCATCTTGTCTACCCCCCACCTTATTTTTTGAGATGGACTATTACTGAACTTGGAGCTCACTGATTTGGCAACACTAGCTGGCCAGCAACCTCTAAAGATCAAATTGCTTCTGCCGCCCTAGAGTTAGGATTACAGGTTCATGCTACCATGTCCTGTTTTTTTTTTATGTGGGTTCTGAGGATCCAAACAAAGGTCCTCATCACAGAAAGCACTTCACTGACTAAACCATGCTTCAAGCCCTCCAATTCTTTTTATTGTGTGGGGGGATCTTTTTTGAGATAGGGTCTCCCTGTTGCCCCAGCTGGCCTAGAACACACTATGTAGACCAAGCTGGTCTTGAATTCAGAGATCCTCTGCCTCCTGAGTGCTGAGACTAAAGGCATGCGCCACCAATTACTTCTTTTTATTACATTTATTTAATTTGTGTAGAGGTCAGAGGACAACTTGCAAGAGTCAGTTTTCTCTGTGTGTCCCAGGGTGTATCTGCTGCACCATCTCACTGATCTTCTTCCTAATATTCCCCGCCACTCCCCATCAATAGTCTCTCTGTATCCCTATGCAGACCCCTATCCCCCTCTGTACTCACTATGCAGACCAGGCTGGCCTTGAACTCACAGAGATCCGCCTGCCTCTGCCTCCCAAGTGCAGGTCTGGCTCCTTCCAGTTATTTTTGTGCTTTGTTTTGTTTTTTGAGACAAGGTCTCCCTGTAGCCTTTGCTATCCTGGAACTCACTCAGACCAGGCTGGTCTTGAACTCATAGAGATCCACCTGCCTCTGCCTCCCAAGTACTGAGATTAAAGGTGGGTGCCCGGCCCTTCTGGTTATTTTTATGAGAATTATTCAGATCCAGAAATTTGGTACTATTGGGGCTGGAGAGATGGCTCAACGGTTAAGAATACTGGTTGTTCCTACAGAAGACCCAGGTTCGAATCCCAGCACCCACATGGCAACTAACAACTGTCTGTAACTCCAGTTCCTGGGCATCTGACAGCCTCTTCTGTCTTCCTCCGGCATTGCATGTCACGGGTGCACTTACCTACATGCAGGCAATACACACATACATATAAAATAAAAAAAAAAAAAAAAAATTTAAAAAAAAAAAAAAAAAAGAAATTTGGTACTATTGTGAAAATGTGACCAGAAGAGCTCTACTCTTCTTACCATCTAGGATTTTCAATCCCATGGGAAAAGATCACATCATCTAGATCTGTGCTGACCAATACAAAAGTGACAAGCCTCCAGAGCTATTCAAATTTAAGTCAATTAAAATTAAATAAAAATGTCATTTTTCAGTGTTGCTAGCCATAGTTCAAGAGCTGCGAATGTATAGTGCACTGGGTAGTGCAGATAAAGCAGTCCAGGAACTTCTATTGAAAGTTTTTTGTTCTAAATTTTTTTATCTCCATCTCCATCTCCATTAGACATACCTGGTATTTCTACTTAGTTCAAAATGGTATTAAATATTGCAGCTGGGCTTGATGATGCATGCTTTTAATCTCAGCACTGGGGAGCCAGAGGCAGGTGGATCTCTGTGAGTTCCAGGCCACCTGGGACTACAGGGAGACCCTGTCTCAAAAAGACTCCTCCAAAGCTGGGTGTGGTAGAGGATGCCTTTAATCCCAGCACTAGAGAAGCAGTGTGAGTTCAAGGCCAGCCTGGTCTACATAGTGAGGTCCAGGACAGCTGGGGCTACAGGGAGACCCTGTCTCAAAAAAGACCAAAAAACAAAAAAAAGACCCCTACAAAAATGAAGTTCAAGGCTATCTTTGGCTGTATAGCAAGTTAAAAGTCAGCCTGAGCTGTATTATGAGACACTGCCTCAAAAAAATATAATAAACAATTGGGCATGGTGGCACATGCCTTTAGTCCACGGGAGGCAGAGGCAGATGGATCTATGTAATTTAAGGCCAGCCTGGTCTATATACCTAGTGAGTTCCAGGCCAGCTGGGGCTTCAGGGGGACCCTATCTCAAAAAAGACCAAAAAAATAAAAAAATAAAACAAACAAACAAAAGAAACCCAGCAAAGTGTGACACATGTCTAAAAAAACTTAGTGCTTGGGAGGTGGAAGCAGGAGAATCAATTCAAGGTCCTCCTCTGCAACACAGTGAGTGAGTCTGAGATCTAAGTAAGTTACTTCCTCAAAAGAAAAAGGAAAGAAAAAAAAAGAAGCCTGGTTCCCTGTGGCAAGGTAAAAATGAACACAGTTATATATTTATAGCTAATAGTGAAATCCAATTTTTCTTTTTTGGTATTTTTGAAACAGGGTGTCCCTGTAGCCCTGGCTGGCCTGGAACTCACTATATACACCAGGCTGGCCTTGAACTCAGAGATTTTCCTGCCTCTGCCTCCTGCAATTTTCAAGCATGCATCACACCTTGCTGAGTTTCTTTTATTTATTTTTGCTTTGTTTTCCGGAAAGTGTCTCACATACCACCACTAGATTTTTCATTAATAATAATTAGGGCAAGGGGTACACCTGAGTGGTAGAGTATTTGCCTATGCACAAGGCCCTGGGATCAGTCCCAGGGCTGTAAAAGACAAACAAGGAGTCTCATTTAAACATAGATATAGATAGAAAAGAATTATTCTTTGTAAATTCAACTTTAAAGTACAAGCTGTATGACCACCATTGTCCAAAAGCATAGAATATCAACAAATGGGATAGTATATGTAATATGTGTCAAACAGTACTGGCTTGGGCATGGCCCATGCCCATAAACTTAGCACATGGGAGGATGAGGCAGAAAGGCTATGTAGTATTAACATGATACACTATCTTAAAACAAACAAAAAACACAATAACAAAAACAGTGTTGCTCCCTGCTGAGTTACCAAAGATGAAAGCTCCACCCAGTCCATTCAGACCTACCTTTTTATATGTTGTCTCTCCAGAGGAATCAACACTCCTGTGGCCTATCTTCTTGACAGGCAGGACAGAGGAATGAGGCCCCTAAAAGAAAAGAATTAGGATTATATATAGCCAGGCAGTGGCACATACTCATCATCGTAGTACTTGGGAAGATTGAGTTAAAAATAATTTCTAAGCTGGGCATGGTGGCGCACGCTTGTAGTCCCAGCACTTGGGAGGCAGAGGCAGGCAGACCTCTGTGAGTTCAAGGCCAGCCTGGTCTACATAGTGAGTTCCAGGACAGCTGGGGCTACAGGAAGACCCTGTTCCAAAAGACTTCCCCCAAAAAATATTATTTACTTATTGTGATGGGAGGGGCACACATGTGCCACAGCATGCACATGGAGGTCAGAGGACAATGCTTTCCCCCATGTGGCTCCCAAAGATGTGACTTAGGTCACCAGGCTTGGTGGCAAATGCCTTTATGTGTTGAGCCATCCTTCTGGTCCTAAAGGAATTATTGAGTACATCCATACACATAATGGCCCCACAAATAAGGAAGTAATAAACCAACAGAGCAGAATCAATCTAGGTATTCCCAAGAGCCAAAATTCCAGTATAATAAACATGAAGTTTTCTTCCTAACATTAATACTCATTAAGAAGCCAGAGGACAAAGACTAATGAAAATAGGATGCCACAATCTTTTCTTTCTTTTCTTTCTTTCTGAGACAGGATCTCAATTATGTAACCTTGCCTGGCACTCACTATGTAGACCAGGTTGTCTTCAAATTCATAGACATCTGGCTGCTTCTACCTCCTAAGTGCTGGGATTAAAGGCATGTGCCACCATTTCCAGTCCTGTATCCCACAATCCATCTCACATTCAAGACCCTTAGTAAAAGTGTATTGCCACTGCCTTCCTAGGCATGGTAGGTAGTGGTCACCTATAAGCAGCCCAAGTCCAGCCTTCATTATTAGTAAGTTTGAAGCCAAGTTACCTCAAAGATCTTGAAAAATATTCTGAGAAGAAAGCCTGAAATCTTAAGAAAACTGCTAGCCAGCACTCTAAGGACCCTACCACAAAATGTAAGAGTAAGGCAAAAAAAATTGGGGGAGGACGTCAGGCATGGTGGCACATGCCTTTAATCCAACCCCAGCACTCGGGAGGCAGAGGCAGACAGATCTCTGTGAGATTGAGGCCACTCTGATCTACATAGTGAGTTCAAGGCAGGCTGGGGCTAGGAAGACCCTATCAAAAAAAAAAAAAAAAAAAAAAAAAGGGCTGGAGAGATGGCTCGGCAGTTAAGAGCACTGACTGCTCTTGCAGAGGACCCGGCTTCAATTCCCAGCACCCACATGGTGGCTACGAACCATCCTTAAATCCAGTTCCAGGGGAATCCGAAGCTCTCTTCTGACCTCTTCAGAATTGCATGACATGGGTGCACCCACATACATGCAGGCAATACACTCATACACATAATAATAAAATATTTTTTAAAAATGTATAAAAAATAATCAGGGGAGGGGTTGGAGGAAAGTATAGCAAATTGAAAACATTCTACACAGAAAACAAGAAAGTTAGAAAACAAATAGGCTAGCTGTGATGATACACACCTGTATTCCCAGTATTTCAGATGCTAAAGCAGGAGGATTGCCAAAAGTCCGAAGCTAGCCTGAGCTACACAGTATATACTATGCTAGCTTGAATTATAGAGTGAGATCTTATCTTAGAGAAAATAAAAACAAAAACAAAACAAAGCAAGGGACTGGAGACATGGGTCAGCATTTAAGAGTACTTGCTGCTCTTCCAGAGGACCTGAGTTCAGTTCCTGGTACCCACATTGGGCAGCTCGCGACCACTTTTAACTCTAGTTCTAGGGTATCCAAAATCATCTTCTGGCCTCTGAAAGTATCCATATACTTGTGGTAGGCACTCACACATACACATAAATTTTAAAAAATCTTACAAACAGGACCAGGTACACAACTAAGTTTGTAGAGTGCCTACTTAAGACTTCAAACAACCCTAAGTTCAACTCAAAGCACTACATAAACCTGCTGTGAGGGCTGGAGAGATGGCTCAGTGGTTAAAAGCACTAGCTACTCTTGCAGAGGACCCAGATTTAGTTCTCAGCACTCACATGACAACCAATAACTGTAAGTCCAGTTCTAGAGGATCCAATACCTACTTCTGGCCTTCATGGGCAGTGCACACACCAGTACATATAGGCAAAACACTCATACACATAAAAATAAGCAAATTTTAGAAAACCCGATGTGATGGTACATGCCTATAATAAAGGCAAGAGGATCAGGAGCTTGAGTTCCGCCTAAGCAAGTTGGGAGAACAAGTTGGGAGACTAGCCTTGATTATATAAGACCCTGTCTCAAAACAACAACAAAAACATCCAATTCCAGTAAAAATCCAAAAATAAAAGAAATGTTCACTCAATAAGAGATATTAACATTTGTTGGAGTCAAGCGAAACGGCTCAGCAGGTGAAGTGGTTGCCACTTAAGTGAAAACCAGAGTTTAGATCACCAGCATCCCTGTAAATGGTTGTCTACATAGTGAGTTCCAGGACAGCTGGGGCTACAGGGAGACCCTGTCTCAAAAAAAAGACAAAAAAATAAATAAATTTAAAAAATAAATAAAAATTTTTAAAAATGCAGAATGGACCTCAGGATTTAGTATAAAAAAATAAAATAAAAAAAATAAATAAAATAAAATATTAAACTAGCCAAGCATGGTGGTGCACACCTTTAATCCCAGCACTCAGGAGGCAGAGGCAGGCAGATCTCTGTGGGTTCAAGGCCAGCCTGGTCTACATAGTGAGTTCCAGGACAGCTGGGGCTACAGGGAGACTGTCTCAAAAACACAAAAATAAATAAATAAAATTAAAAAAAAAAAACTGTTGTATGTTTATGCAATTGTATATATTTTTCTCTGTATAAATTCATGCACCAAATAAATGAATTCACACACACCAACATGCCCACACTCCCATACTCCCACAGACCCCCACAAGATCTTAAGGGTCTTGTCTAATTTTCCAAGGCTTGCCACGTCAGACGGAAATCCTAAACAAATATTAAAGTTTTAGCAATCAGCTATATGAAACTCACCTCAGATACTGTGGTTCTCTTGACTCCAGGTGCTGCTGCTAAAAAAAAAAAAACAATTCTTAAGCATACACAAGTCACAATCTCTTCAAACACCCTGAAACATCTCACAGAGATCCATCTCCCCAGTCTTAGCACTTCCTCTTCCTCCATACTCACAGGGGCCTTATACATATTCCATTCTTGTTCTATCCCCCCTTTCTAATTCATGTGTTCGTATTTTCTTTTTTTGTTTTTTGATAGGGACTCGCTATGTAAACCAGGCTGGCCTGGATCTCAGACATCTGCCTGCCCCTGCCTTGGGAGTGCTGGGATTAAAGGTATGTACCACCTCACCCAGTCTTCATGTGTTCATATGCCTATGGGAAGCATAATTGTTCTGAATACATTTAGCTGGTATAAAAAGTCAATGATACCTTGGTTGAAAGAAAAAGGACCTAAGAGATACCCAAGTATCCCCACATGGTGGTGTACATCTATGGGGCAGGATTGTTAAAGCAGTTCAAAACCTGAGTATGCTACATAGTAAGCTCCAGGAAAAAACTAAAACAACAAAAAGATTTTTATCTTCATGGGCTGGGAGAGAACACTTGCCCAGAAGATCTGGATTTGATCAAGAATTCAAGGCCATCTTTGGCTACTTAATGAATTCAAAAGAACCTATGCCAAGTGAGACTGTCTCAAAAACAGCTAGGTGTAATATGAGCTTGCGAAGCAGAGGCTCGGGAGGAATCTCTGTGAGTTTGAGGCTAGCCTGGTCTATATAGCAAGTTCCAGGCCAGCCAGGGTTATATAGTGAGACCCTATCTCAAAAACAAAGCAGAAACAAAAACAGAGAGCAGAACAATGTTCATAAGTTTTTCTTAGCATTGATTTAAAATGCCCTCCAGTACACATTACCATCTTATAATTCATGTCCATGATTCACACATATCTTTTTGTAGAGAAGCCAGAGTTCCAACATTAAGCTTTGCCCCTCCTGAGGCTGGAGAGATGACTCAGCGGTTAAGAGCACTGACTGCTCTTGCAGAGAACTCAGGTTCGATTCCCAGAACCCACATGGAGAATACGAACCATCCTTAACTCCAGTTCCAGGGGAATCCGTAGCCCTCTTCTGATCTCCAAACGACACAGGTGCATTCACATACATGCAGGCAATACACTCACACACATAAAAATAATAAATAGCTCCAGCTGTCCTGGAACTCACTATGTGGACCAGGCTGGCCTTGAACTCACAGAGATCCACCTGCTTCTGCCTCCCAAGTGCTGGGATTAAAAGCCTGTGCCACCACGCCCAGCTAAATAATAAATATTTTTTTTAAAAAAAGATTTACTCCTGCTTAGAAGGAAATTTTTCTTCTAAGGATTCTGGGATCTTTTTCCCCAACAAAATCAAAACTGAAGAATCTTTATTCAAACATCTACATTATTACAGTCCATATTTGGAAATACATACTACCCCAGATGAGAATACATTACCCAATGGTGGGGACAAGGCTAACAGCATGACTATAAATGTTTGCTTTGAGACACAGTTTTTTCGTTGTTTTTTTATTTTATGTGTATAAGTGTATTGCCTGCACGTATGTGAGTGCACCCATGTCGTGCAATGCCACGGAGGTCAGAAGAGGGCTTCAGATTCCCCTGGAACTGGAATTAAGGACGGTTCGTAGCCGCCATGTGGGTGATAGGACTCGAACCCGGGTCCTCTGCAAGAACAGTCACTGTTCTTAACCACTGAGCCATCTCTCCAGCCCCTGAAACAGTTTTATGTAGCCCAGTCTGGTTGCCAACTATGTAGCAAAATTGGCCTTTAATTCCTAATCCTTCTGCCTCTACCTCCTGATCTGGTTACAAGTGTATCTGTGTAAGATTTTCTTTTTTTTCTTGATTTATTATTTTATATGTATGAGTGTTTGCCTACACATATGTATGTATACCATATGCGCAATACCCATGGAAGCCAGAAAAGTGTCAGATCCCCTGGAACTGGAGTTATAGAAAGTTGTTAGCTGCCATGTGGGTGCTGGAAAACCAAAACCTGGTCCCCTGCAAGAGAAGACAGTGCTCTTAACCACTGAGTCATTTCTCCAGCCCTAAGACATTCTCTTTTGTTTTTATGAGACAAGGCCTCCCTGCAGCCCCAGCTGGCCTGAAACTCACTATATAGACCAGGCGGACCTCAATCCCACAGAGTTCTACCTGCCTCTGCCTCCAGAGTGCAGGGATTAAAGGCATGCACCACCATGTCCAGTTGTATAAGACTTTAAAAGTTTACAAATACATCTCACTTGGCTTTTAATACTACAAGGATTAGGAACTATTTAAAATAAGATTTAAGAGACTCATCTCCCTAACTTAATATATGAAACTTGTTCAGATGCTAACTAGAAAAAAACAACAGACCAACAAGATGGGCTCAGCTAGTGGAGGTGCTTGCTACCAAACCTGACCACCTGAGTTCAATCCAGGGACCTATATGGTAGAAAGAGAGAGCAGACTCCTGCAAGTTGTCCTCCTACCTCCATAGGTGAGCTGTGGCACATTCCACCCTCCCCCACACAAATAAATGACTTTTTTTTTTTTTTTTTTTTTTTTTTTTTTTTTTTTTTGTAGCCTTGAAAGGAAAAAATTTAGTGCCAGGGATCAAATTCAAGGCTTCAAGACTAGGGAGATGGTTCAGTGGGTAAGGACTTTTCTGCCAAGCCTGACAACTTGAGTTCACTTCTCTGAAACCCACATGATGGAAGGAGGGAACTGATTCCCACAAGCTGATCTTCAACTTCCACACATGTACTATGTAATAACCCCAACAACACACACACACACACACACACACACACACACACACACACACACACACAAATATAAAAAAACTTTAAACTCAATGGTTCACGGATGCTAACCAAGTACTCTACCACTGAGCTACAATTCTAGCAATAATTACTCTTAAGTTTGTGGATGCAACAATGATACTGTGATTATATCACAATCTCACCCCCTACTAACAAAGACTCCTTATCTATAGAAATATTTTTTGCCTTTTTGGTTTTTAAAAACTTATTTATTTATTTATTTACAGGGGGCAACGCTTTACTGAGACAAAATACAACAAATTCCAGAGCACAAATTCAGCCCATCTCATCACCTTGACTAGCAGCAAGGTCACAAGACTGTTCTATGACCATGCATTCCCTGCCTTGGGAAGGAAGTACAGTAGTCTGAGCTGCTAGGAAGAAGGCAGGAAGGAGTGTGGGGAATAACATACTCTTATTCTTTCCCTCCTCCTTCCTGGCCTCGTTTGATAGAATCCTACTTTTCCAGGATGCATAAATCCCAGACTGGATCTTAACTAGGTGCAAAGAAATAGCAGCAAAAGCATTTAAGGGCAAAAATTCAACAGGGACTTTCATACTCAGTGACCAGTGGTTAAGATAGGTGGCCAAGCCCAAGTCAATTTATTTATTTTTATTTTGTGTATGAGTACTTTGCTTGAATGTCTGTAAGTGCACCTGTGTAGTGTAATGCCTGAGGACAGAAGAGGGTATCGGGAACTGGAGTTACGGGCAGTTGTTAGCCACCATGTGGGTCCTGGGATTCAAACCTGGGTCTTCTGCAAGAACAGTCAGTCAGTCAGTGCTCTTAACTGCTGAGCCACCTCTACCGCCTCCCTTTTTGTTTTTTTGGTCTTTTTGAGGCAAAAAAGTCCCTGAAGTCCCAGCTAGCCTGGAACTCACTATGTAGACCAGGCTGGCCTCGAACTCACAGAGAGTGAGCTGGGACTAAAGGCGTGAGCCACCACACCTGGCAGCCTTTTCAGTTTTTTAAGACAGTGTCATGCAGTCCAGAGGAGCCTCCAATTGAGTATTTAGGTAATGATGACCTTGAGCTCCTGATCCTCCTACATCCACCCTTCACATAGTGGAATCACAGGCTTGCACCACCACACCCAGGTCTGCAGAAATATGCTCTGAAGTGTTTATCAGTGAAATCATGAGAACTGAGCTTATTTAAAACATTCCATAGAACTAGGAAGGGTCGAGGAAGGGGTGGGAGGGAGAAAGGAGGAGAGCAAGAGAGGAGGGGGGAAGAGGTAGAGAAAGGAGGGAAGGAAGAAAACCTGTGATACCACACACTTGTAGTTCCACCATTTTGAAAGGCAGAGGCAGAAGGATTTACCTGTGCTACACAGGGAGTTCTAAGCCAGCTTGAGCTATATAATAGAGACCCTGTTTCAAAAGAACAGCCAGGTGTGGCAATGTGTGTCTTTAATCTCAGTTTTTAATCCCAGCAGTCTTGGCTATCTAGCAAGTTTGAAGTCAGCATGTGCATGTGAGACCCTGTGTCAAAAAAATAAGACAGACATTAATATCTAGCCAAGTGTGGAGATTAACACTTATATTCCCAGCACTCAGGAGACTGAGGCAGGTAGAGTGCTAAAACTTCCAGACCAGCATGGGCTACAGAGAGATCTTATCTTGGAAAAAACAGAATATAGGGGCTGGAGAGATGGCTCTTGGAGAGGGCCTGGGTTCAAATCCCAGCACCCACATGGCAACTTACAACTGTTTTTAACTCTAGTTCCAGGGGATCCAATGCCCTCTTCTGTCCTCTTCAGGCACTGCACGCCATGGGTGCACTTGCAGGCGTAACACTCATATACATAAAAATAAATAAAAATTTTAAAATATCAAAAACTTCCAGAAAACCAAGGTCAGGCAGATGGAGTGGTGCACACCTTTAAACCCACTAGTCAGGAGGCATAGGCAGGATGATCTCTGTGAGTTCAAGGCCAGTCAGGGTTACATAGTGACCTTGTCTCAAAAACAAAACAAAACATTAATAAGATCAAGGTCAACCTGGGATACATAGGGAGTTTGAGTCCAGCGTGGGCTGCATGAGACTGACCTAGTCTGAAAATACCAAAAACAGTGCTGGCAAGATGGTTCAGTGGTCAAACCCTAGTCTGCCAACCAGAGTTTATCTTCTAAACCCAGGTAAAAGTAGAAGGAAAAACTGATCCACAGTTGTCCTCTGG